CTTTTGGAAAATCATGCTCTCAACATTTTGTAACACATTCACTCTGATTTCTGAAGAATTATTATTTTCTGGTCACTCAGATCTTTTTGGTTCCTTTTTTATCTGATACTTTCCCTAAATATTAATCAGGAGTTTGGGGTAAACTAAGTTTTACAAGGCAATTTCTCTTATCTACTGCTGTAGTTTATAATCCAATGCCTGCAATTTCAATAGTGAGTGAAGGCACTTGTTGCACTTACGATCTTTATTCACCCTTTATTTTCCCAGCTGTCAGTGGCCAAGAAACAGCTGTTTCATGCCAGGGCATCTAAAAATATTACTAATAAAGGAGAATATTAATAGCTCATTAATAGCCAGGGGTCCTTGGTGCTCTGAGAGCTTTCTTGTTTTCTTGCAGACATTTCTGTACCAAGGACCCCTCAAAAATATTTCTGCAGTGAGCCAGCATGGCGTTTTCTGAATGTCTTTTTTCACTATGTCAAAAGATTAAATGATATTGATAGTAAACTTCAATTCTGTCGGCTGAGTGATGTAAGTGAGTCCACAAACACAGAGAACTACTCTAAACCTGAACCACAATAGACTTCTGCACCTCAATGAGGGACCTTCAAAAGGTTGATTGCAATGTGGTCTAAGAGCTACATTCAAACATTATACAGTTCGACCCAATAGAGCATTATTCTATGTCTGCTACTCAAATTTGGCAATGCTCTATTACTATTGATCATTGTCTACCTTCCACCTTCTAGGTTCCAATTTAACAAGTTTTGGAACAAATTTAAAGGTTATATAAGTACGCTTATAGTAGGAGTGTCAAACCTGTGTCATTACGTCATTGTTTAACACTCCTGGCTTATGCTAATAATAATTTCTGTTGTCATAAATGTAAAGGGGGCATGTAAACAATAAGAACCTTTTCATTCAGTTCTACCAATAGCCTCCATAACTAGTTACACTTTTCCCTTTATCAGCCAGGCAATCTAAAGGTTCAAAAAGGTATCAGAAGGGGTTATGGTTATCACCAACAATAAACTAACAAAAATTATATTTATTGGATTGATCCATCAGCAGCAATTTCTTGGTGAATTCTCCCACTGGTTTGATTAAAGAGCTGATTAATCACTTTTAATCACATAGAATTTATTTACTTTGTTCAAAGTAGTATCTAGACCAGGGGGGTCAAAGTAGCAGCCCACGGGCCAGATGTGTCACATGCTGACCCCCCCATGGCAACAGTTTAGAAAGGAGAAAAAACTCATGATACGTCATGTGACACCCCTGATGTAGACATGACACTAACCATCTTCTAAACATCACAGTTATGAAAGTATTCAGCAATTGGTTTCTCAAAATAGATCGTACTCCATCTTTGGAATCAGAGTTAGAACCAGGGCTTTTCAATGCCAAATGGACTCAGCAACTTGTTATTGAACTGTTCATAGATTCTTTTTTTATTATTAGTGAATTCAAAATTTCCATATTTTATATACTTCAACTTCATCTTATCTCCTTAGTTAATCAGATAGCTTTGTTAATGGATTGTGGGACTTTTATAGATGTTTATTTATTGTCCACATTTTTACCCCATCGCAATCCAGAGATTCTCAGCACATAGCTGACTAGATAAGTGTTCATGGGCTGGCTAAAGGTCCTGTGTGCTTCCTGGGTGGTAGAGATTGTTCCAGGGAGGGATAAGGAAGAGCTCTGGGAGCGGATGCCAAGAGTCCAATGTACCATATTTTTCAGAGTATAAGATGCACCTTTTTTCCTCAAAAATGAGGCTGCAAATCTGGGTGCATTTTATGCATTG